CCCAGACGGCTCCAATAGAATATCCCACTTTCCGTGAGATCTATAACTCGTCAACACGATACAGATCAACGCGCTGAGCAATACCCTACCATCGGGGCCATCCCAGTACACGCCCAATAAGACTACAGCCTGGAGGACTGTCGTAGGATCTCTTTCGTATCCAGCATCATACAAAGCTTTCACTTTCTTGTAAAAGATGCGCGGAGAGATTACACCGTTCCCAGAGCTAAGGGCATCATGATGGAACCTTGACGCTACCATGAGTACGGCTTGAAGTAAGAGGATTGACGGAGGGTCCTGAGGATCACGATATCGACGCATGAAGTCGTGCCGATTGATCACAGGCAACACTGGTGCGATCCACTTGAAGAACACGTCCACGAGAGCATCACAGACAGCCTGCGAAGGTAAATCAAATGCATGTCGCTGATTCAGTATGTCCACGTCAAGAGGATCCAGGTGATCAACTGTCTAAAGTCAATACCTTCGACAAATCCGAAGTAAGAGCTGTGAGCTACCTGAGAACGGATTTTTCGACGCATACTCATGCTCTGTGGATGATCCTGGGGATCTAGTCGTTGACGGAACAGACTGCGGACTTTCTGTGACATCCCAACCGAGAAAGACATTCTGAAACTGTAGACCTCGTTGTGCTCGTCCCTGTCGTTCCTTCTCCCATTCGCGCGCATTTCTGGCATCCATTTTTGCTGTCTATTCTGATCATCTTCCGGTTGAGCCGTGATGATTACGGGAATGACACATTTTATTTAGTAGGAGACCACTCGCTGGAAGATGGTGCGCAATCCCAGTTCGAAAGAAACATCCTCGGCCTCTCTTTAAACGGAGATCAGGCCTGATTGGTCATTTGGTGTCCGCCAACTGGTCAGCCACTTATCGCACACACCGCCCTGGCAGAACCCGATGGTACTTTTCTGCTTCGCGCCTCCGTCGCTTTCATCACGATCTCTCCCAAGAGGCGTGTTCCAGATCAGAGAACAAGATGGCAGCCGAACCCACGGCCACTATGGCCGACTTGGACTTTGATAACGAGCAATACGACTCCGCCGAAGATGAAGATTTCCAGCTCGATCCTGATCAAGAAGATGCCAACTTGACCGGCTCCGATAGCGACGATGAGGCGACAGAACCAGCAGCGAAAAGGCGCAAAACAGGGCCTAAAAAGGCAGCCACCGAAGACAGAGAACTCGACTCTGGCGATGAGGCCATGATCCAGAAAGTAAAGGCGAGAAAGGAGGGCAAGCAAAAAGGGAAGAAGTCACAAGGCACAGCCAGCGATGAGGACGAGGAAGACGTGGATTTCGATGACGATGATGAAGGCGGTCCCGGGGGCTTTGTACGGACGCGAGCAATGAGGATGCGAATGTGAGTTGAGCTTTTGCACGGACTTGGTCCCTACGTCCAGATGACTAACAGTCATTTCTTGACAGGCAGGAAGAGCGAAAACCACTGGCCAAGATTGACGGTGCTACGGTTGACGTTGATGCAATATGGGCGCAACTGAATGCCCCAGATCTTGGTGCAGGCGTTCTCCCTTCGCAGACCCAAAAGGACGCCACCCCTGTGAACGACGAAAACAAGGACACCGATACCGCCGAGAAACAGGTGCCCTCGCCCGATTCCAAACCTCAGTATACGGAGGAGATGGTAAAAATCAAAAGGACCTACAAGTTCGCCGGCGAAGTCATCACCGAGGAGAAAATTGTCCCCAAACACTCCGCCGAAGCGAAGCTTTTCCTCGCTAACGGCGAGAGCGCTGAGACGGTCACAGACGCCGATGTCGAACACGCCGCGCACGCAAAGGACGCGCTCAAGATGCGCAGACCCCTCCGCAAGGTTTCACGTTTTGACCCTAATCCCACCGGGACGATCAAGAAGAGCTGGGAGAAGCAACCCACGGCCGAGATCACCGGTCAGACAGAGAACCTTAGCGGACCGAAGATCAACACCGTGGAAAAGTCTCGGCTGGACTGGGCTGCGTATGTGGACCAGGCTGGCATCAAAGACGAGCTCAAGGTTCATAGCAAAGCCAAGGAAGGTTTCCTTGGCCGCATGGATTTCTTGGATCGCGTTGTTGCCAAGCGGGAGGAGGAACGAAGAAACGCGCGGTTGAAGGGATTGTGAGACGTTTGAGTGTCTGCACTCTTACACCATTCCTCTTACAACTTGTGTATGCCAGGGCGTCGCGGCCATAGCAGCTCGCAAGTATCAAATTGCCCGTCACTTTCGTTCTGGCGATTTCAAGGTGCGATGCTACCCTGAATTGGCCCCCCCTTCTGCTTCGCCTCGAGGTTCGACTGCTACGGATGAATACCGCAGCAGTCATGGTAGGCAGCAGGAAGTGCACTCGGGAGACTCGCAGATATCTTGGATCCTGTGCTGCTACGAGCTCATACATGACAAACGACATCTACCTGTCGACGCTTAGAAGACGCAGCCTTACGTACGGGCACACAATAGTGCGCCAAGCCACATACTATATGGGAACTGTTGCAGGATACAACCGCAGGTAGAGCTGTTCGGGTCTGGCAAACCCACTCGAAGCCGTGGGCGTTCTAACCCCATGGTTACGTTCAGTAAATGTACAGACTGGCCATGATATGAGGGTCGCGGCAATTATGGCTATTTCTGTCGTTGCGACGTTTAACTTCATACATCTGCACCATTCCGCTCTGTTCATCAGAACGCTCAGTCATGACGAACTAGTACTTTCCCTCCTTTCCCTCCTTTTTCGCAAACTTCCCAGATGGACATGTACCTTTACGGCCGCCGCTCGCAGGCTTGGGCAGGTATTTAATGCCAGAGGAGGGGCAGGTAGAAGATGAGACTATAGATATTTCAGGTTAGCTGTCGTCTATGGAACAGAGAATGTACAGACAACGTACGCGGATCAGTAGGCACGTATTTGCCATTGATGAGATTGCCCTTGACATTGAAGAAGTACCAGGCTTCAGTCAGCTCGCCTTTACTGCAGCCGACCGAGGGTTTATGGCCGGTGATTGCAGACAGAGCGGACAGGATGTCGCTCAAGTTGTAGGTCTTGGACGAACTGGGAGTGATGCCGGCAGCGGCAAGAGCCTAGACCGTTAGTCTCAAGTATGAGAGTAACTCAATGTCTGATGCATACCTTGTACGTATCGAGGCCCTTGAAAAGATCGACAGTCTTTTGGAAATAATCACCGACCTCTTCCTGGGGCTTGTAGTCGGTGTAGCAGCTGGGCTCGATGGTGTTGATGCAAGTGCCTATATCATCATTAGTGTCTGGTCTGGGATTGTCAGATTTGCACAAACGAACCATGCTTGTTCCACTCGTGCTCCCAGAAGCTCTCGTCATTACCCTGGTAGTCCTTCCAGTAGGTTTGCATGTAGGACAGCAGCTCGGTCCTACCCTGCGCCTGGAGGATCTGCGTGATGTTCGAATACTCGCGAGAGGAATCACAGAACTGCTCGTACGTGCCATCACAGTTGTCGGGCCTGGGTCGATTGTTAGTGTCCATGTTGTACCATTTCCATTCTGCTCAGGCATACCAAAGTCCATGGACAGTCCAGGAGTCTGAAGGACCGGTAGCTGGATTGGTGTCCCAGAATTGAGTCAAGAGAAGAGATCCTCCGGGATAATTGAAGCAGCACGAGTCAGGCACCGCGGTCGTGTTGCTACAACTCACTGGGGTATACCCCGGACAGCTCTGAAGGTTGTGGTTATGAAAACCAGAGGTAAGGTGCATTGCACCCAGGGCGAGCTTGCCCACCGACGGGAGATGGGTTGTGGGCATCTTAGCACGATGGACAGGTTGACAGAGATGGAAGAAGTCAGGGGTGAGGACGAGCAGAGTGCAAAGATAGAACTACATCTCCTTAATATAGGCAATTTCTTTCAGCGTTGAAGACAGCCGCTGCAGATACGACAGTGCATTCCTACGGAGCATCGCTTCATATCGCCAAGCGTTGATAGCAGCACATGTACTGATAACACGCCGCTGATTTGACGCCGGAGATTACCTCTGATTCAGGAACATGGATTAACGCAGCGCCAAGCAATCGGACGTCGCCGTCGAGTTCTGGCTACTCTTTATCCTGTTTCCATCCTTGTCGCGGCGGGGAGTCGATCAGATAGAGTCCGTCCAATCGTATGATCTGGTTCGAATGTGCAGTTGCCGGACTGTCGCTTCGCCGACGGAAGGCCTTTGGGGTAGAATCAGGAACCGTCAAGGAGTGGCCAGGATATTTTGATCACGTTGATGATTGCTGATCTGGATTTCTTCGACTCCCCCGCTATGTATCAGATGTTCAGAAAGTTGCATCGAATGCTCGTATTTCCTTGCGAATCCTTTGGATGAAAGCGCCACTGAACAGCCCATATGTAAAAAAGATTGGAGTAAACGAAGCAGCAGCTCTTGGAAGAAGACGGCAGGTTAACTATCGGTCGGACTTGGCGTAGAGGAGTTCAATCTACCTAATGATCCATTCGGTGACTAGATCAAAGTATATTTCATGAAATGAGTCAAATGACCGATATTGACTAAGCTGCGGTCGCTGAGGATGAAATGCAACGACGAAATAGCATACTTGTAGCCAATTGAGTTGGAGCCATCAGACACTACCTGGTAGATTCGGATTGAGGTCAGGTTGTTTATATTCGGAGCAAGCGGTGCTAGCCTGGGGGCCTGAGGCCGGCAAGCATGTTTGTCCTTTCCACCTAGTCATCAACGTCAATCATACAGCTTAGTTCTAGATGATTATCTATCCTATGTCACCCTCCGGCTGGCTGCGACAATATCCGCACATATGCAGTGGATTATGTACCCTGGCAACTTGGCCATCTTATCTGAGTCATAGGGCGATCCGATACCGGCTCAGCAACATATCAACTCGCATCTGGTCCGGAGACTATGACAGAGCCGTAACCAGCGAAGCTCTCTCTGACTATCATTCTCGAGCCCAGTATTTGCAGGATATCTCAACCTACTCCATTTTCCTGCCTGATGGCTCCCCCTAGCAGCTTCCGGATCGTCCCAGCTCAAACCGCCGAAGACTTTGAAACAGCTAGGACCTTATTCAGGGCTTATGCTGAATCGCTCATTATCGACCTCACCTTCCAGAGCTTCGAATCCGAACTACAGAACCTACCTAGCCAGTATGGTTCTCCGCACGGAGCATTGCTGCTAGCTTACGGAATTGATCCTAAGATTGCCCTTGGCTGCGTGGCCGTTCGCCCACTCCTCAACAAAGGACATCAAGCCGCGGAACCCCAAAACGAAGTCAGATCGTACTGTGAGATGAAGCGACTGTACGTGTCTCCTGAAGCACGGGGGATGGGTCTCGGAAAGGCTCTCGTGGATGCAATCATCCAGAGGGCCAAGGACCTGGGGTATCGTTGAAATGAGACTTGATACTCTGCCGTCCATGGCTGGAGCGCAGCAACTCTATAGATGGGCTGGGTTTGTCGAGGTACAAGCCTACTATGAGACGCCTCTGGAGGGGACTCTGTTTCTCGGATTAGATATTGATTGATTTTGTCAGGGTTTGTGCGATCTCTCTACTGTATCATCAAGGAAGCAGAGTCGCGGTACTATCTGGCAAAGTACAGTAATAAATGGATTCATCCAGACTCAGACTGTTGAGCTTGATTTGGTATTTGGTCACCCACTGCAGTTTTCGCTGCCTCGTGCCAAAGAAGAGATGTCATCATTGTCTGGGAAAAAGAGCTGATGGAATAGTCTCACGAGCTTGACATTAGAGCTCATGGGCAGCTACTCCATCTGATGTGATGATTGATAGATCAGGAAAATCTGGAAACAATGCTTTATGTTTCCGTATAGGTAAAGCTGGGTGCTCAAATCTGAGCTCATTATTATTCAGTGTTGTTGACGAAAAATCGATAAGACGATGTTGTGTGGTGGCCTTTAAACTAGTGCCTCTAGTGAGGTCATGTGATTTCCTTATGCGTATGACTAAGTGACAGCATAACTAACACTAGTTAATTATACTAGCCCTATCTAGCTGTGTAAACTCATCACAAAAGCAAAACCTCAACCACATCCACTTCGAATGTCAATCAGTCCTTCCAGACATATCACGAGTCCATGACAAAGTGTAGGATATCACATTTTGAGACCACAGACAAATCCACCACGGGATCTCAATACTGACCGCCATCTGATACTGATCCCGTCTCAACTCTCGGTCTGGAGTACACTTTCCAATCCAAGATCTGAGCCAATAGTCTAGTGTACAGCATATGATATCACGTACGCTATACGTTTCTTCAGCGTGGCAGAGTTTTTGATGTCTCTGCCATGGTCAACAAGCTTCTTAGTCGGAGCCATTGCTGCGACATTTGGGTAATGTCGAACATGACGTGCTAGTGGATTCGGTGAATGCGCAGGCAGGTCATTTTTTTTTTTCACTTTGTCAACAGAGTACATGTTAAGTTGGTCTGTGGAGGAGACATCTATCCTGCCATTATTGCTGTCAGAAAAGCGTGAGAGCGCAATTGTGTGTGGTCTGTACTCCGTTCCCATCCGTACGATTATATCAATTCTCAAGCATGATCGTCAATTGCTGCTCTTATTTCTTGGACACGGTCAGTAACCTTGAATATGTCATCATACATATTCATGCACTGAATGGACATAGCGATGAGGAACTTAGGAAGACGAGATGGGCAATACCTAACCCTTAGTCACTGCTGTGGAGCATAACTAAAGCTACCTTAGTGAACTAATAAACCTACACTAGCAGGCATGACGATCACAGATGGATGCCCATCCAACCCAAACACGGAATGGCTTGTTTATATACACTTGAATGAGATCTGAGACGTAATAAGCGCTCATCATGAAGATAACCTCTAAGGGAGATCGTGCCGAGGACGTACCGTAGTCGCACCTGAATTACATCAAGTCACCGCCTCGCCAACGATCCGATTAGACGACTCAATCAATAGTTCTCACGAGTTCGAATGAGCGGTCAGCTTTCAAAACAGTCTGAAAGAAGTGTGTGCATATCACGCCATACCGACTTTGATCATACACATCCACATCAACATCCAAGCTCGACCCAAAGTGGGGAACCATGTAATGATACAGCTCAAGGCAGTGTACTTTCGAAATTCCAACCGCAGAACAATGCACAACATGATTCCCCATCAGTTAGAGACTTAGAACATACGGATATTGGTAGCCTACAGCCTACAATCAACAAAGCTCGCCTCACCAACGCCCTTGGCATGCAAACCACTCCATACGGAATAAGCTAAAGGTACCTTAGTCTAGTCTTAGCCTTGACCAACTATCTTGCCATTAATCTCAGCTCCGTACCCGGTTTCTGGAATGTGGTATGGACATATCGCCAAGTAACCCGATCAGCATTCAGCATTATCATTTACTGGCTGAACGTAGTTTCTCCGTAGTCCATACTATACTTCCTGAGGCGGTACGGTACGGGGTACGGGTACACCACGTAATCCGTACATAGTAGGTATCCACTGTCCACTCCATAGTACCTTATGATTGAGTAGTAGCACTAGTGGGAGAGTAGTAGTAGTAGTACAAAGATAACTGGGGCTGCATAGTGCATACGAAAGTCGGGGTCTGAGGTCTAAGGTATGCTGATTGCTGACCACCACAGCCACAGCCACACCACAAGTATGACCTACCTTCCTAGGCTAAGTAGAAGTACTACGTGAGTATGGTACATTCCGCTGTCGGGAGATCTTCAGGCAGTAGATGCCGCCAATAGGAGCATTGCCATGGCTGGAATGTGGAGAGAAGTACCTAGTGGCTTATATGGACTTAGGTGCTTACTGCCAGTGTCATTATTGGGACGTCTCAACGTTCATAGTCATGGACTCATGGTCCATGAATGACTTGAATTACACAGGAATGGCATGAAAATAGACTACAAGCATGCAGATTGGAAAGTGATACTTATAGGAGTGAATCTCAGATGACCATTGGCCTCTAAACAGCCAGATACGTGCCCCCGCATGTGAAATGTGATGTGTCCACCTTCCAGGCTTCGAAAATGTTTCTGTGCTGGCCGCTTGGTCCCCTGGCTGGGAATTCCCTACCACTTGTCCTTGTCATTTGTCAATCGGATCGTCTTCGCAGTCTAGGACTCTAGGTACTGACGGTCTAAAATAGTCCGTACTCTGTAAAGGCCCACGGCACGCGTTGACGAATCATTGCCTGAGGAAAAGGCTTTCAGACTGATCGAATTATGAAGATAGGTACGCTAAGGCCTGCTGTAGGTATCATGTACCATATCTTCTCAAGGCCCCAGAGAGGATACTCTAGGATGGAGACAAAAGTTTGATGGTCGAGAGTCGAGACCTGGTCTTATTTTTGGAAACGAGCAGTAAGCCATGTCTAGTATTATTATCTCATATCGTACGTTGCCAGTCAATAGATCAGTCAGATCACAAACAAACCAGTCACTCAGTCCCAACACATAGTATGCCCCGTTCCAGATCTCGTTCAAGTCATGCGGTAATTATCCCAGCCTGGATTTGTAGTAAAGAAACAGAACAGTGCAAGAAAAGACAGGCGTGCCTCTCCACAGGACATATTATAGAGATAGGAACACATAGTGATAAATATGCATCATCCAATCGAGGAAATCGAACCCAGGACTTGTGTTATACAACAAGAAAGGAAAACAATGAAAGAAAAAACAAAACTTAACGCCGCGAAGCGCCGACCAGGGTCTCTTGGACCCTATATGACTGTGCCCATCTAAAATACTCAAGGAAATTCTTTGTGTCGACTGCGTCACAAGGGTATCATGGTTCCGATCCACCCATTAATCTCTTCGTAGTCTGTCTGTAGCTTCCGCTTCGTTTTGAAGAATTTTGTTTTTTTGTTCTTTTTCCTTTTCTCCTTTTCTTTTTTTCGTTTTTTTTTTTTAATCTTTTTTACTCATCCCATTCCATGCTGATCTCGCGGGAAGGCATGGACTCGTCCAGCGTCCCACCCGGCATGGGGCGACCGTCAGCAGTAAGTGGCCCCCGGTAGTCTGGATTGTAGTCGGGACTGGTCTCATCCAAGGTGGCCACATAGCGGTTGCGGCCTCCGCGTTTGCTGTGGGTCTTGGTGTAATGGGCATTGAGGTTGTCGCTGCGGGAGAAGGCTCGATGGCAGCCCGGAACCCAGCAGACATGAGGCTTCTCCTTGGAGTGGCTCTTCATGTGGCGCTTGAGGTGTTCCTGTCGCTTGAAGCGACCCTTGCAGCCAGGTTCTTTGCACTTGAACTGCACCTGCTTGATGATGGATGGCAGGTTCTCTAGTGACAGGCTCTGTTTGGAAGACTGCTTCCGCGCCATCTTGCGTGATGGCTGCCGCTGCAGACGAACACCTGTCGCATCTCGGTAGACAGGCGACTGGTGGTATTCATCCATGTATTCACCGGCACCGCCAGAGAGACGGCTCAGGGGCGTGTCCGCTCCAGAGCCGGTGCCCAGAGAGCACGAGCGGATGGGCGTAGCCGGTGAGTGTGCCTTGAACGTGTGGATGGAGTTGGAGAAATCCGTGTAGGATGGAGGAGGGGTTACCGGTGCAACTTGGGACGGAGCAATGGTCTCCGGCGCAATCGAGTCCGTATGACCCATCCAGGGCATCATGTGGCTCATGGACAACGACGGGGCCAGGCGCTCGGGTTGGTGATGAAAGATGGGGCGCGACAGACACGGGTTGGTGGCCGACTCAGGGAGGTACGGCGCAGGGTGGTGGCGGTAGTTGCTGCGAAGCATGGGCGGATATTGGTGCATAGCCGGCGGGCATGGGAGTCCATGGACATGGTGATCGTAGGTCTTGGGAACATCCGAGGGGAGCCAGAACTGATCCGCGTTTTCGTCATATGAGGGCAGGAAATCCGTCACCGCCATGCGATCCTGTCCATCCAGGCTGCTGTACGGTGGCAGACCCATGTTCTCGTTTGAAGGCATACTGGCGAGACGGAAGTGGCCGCGCATGGGTGTCGATCCGGTACCTCTCTCGTAAGCGTGGCCGGGGTATGACCCGTTCTCTGGCCAGCTTGGGGAAGCAAGTGAACCTTGGCTGTAGATGCTCGTAGGGGTGGGTGTGGGTGATTCCAAAGGCGAGAAGCTGGAGCCCATAGACGGACATTCGTTGGAACCGAGTGAGTGGCAGTCGACTTCAACGGCCAGGCGATCAGACATATTACTTTGAGATCTCATATCCTCCGTGTCTTCGAGTTCAATGGCTCTGGGGCGTGTGTCGCTTTCACCTGTCAACGGAGACGGTTTAGTGTTATTAGGTGTGCGAGACGAAAGAGTGTGTAGTCAAAAGAATGTCTCAGTATAGGCCAATTGTATATGGCCGGTGCGATAGTAGAAGGAATGTTGATATGGGTAACGAAG